CTCCGCCTGCACCGGTGTCCCCCCCCCTCCCTGCCACCGTGTGCCCCAGCTGTCCCGTCTCCCTCCATGCCGCCCTTTCTCCCAGCCCCATCAACTCCGCCACCACCAGCCCCCCCCCGGGTACCTGCTCCCATGCCAGTGCACAGTCACCCTCCTTAGCGGCGCTCACATCCCGCTGTCGGGCCGTAACCCCATGCTGCAAGAAGTGCTGGGCATCCGCCCGCACATCCTGGTGCTGAACAAGATGGACCTGGCTGATTCCCGCCAGCAGCTGGTGAGTGCTGGGGCAGGGCTGGCCGCCTGCAGGTCACCGCAGGGAGGTGCCAGCAATGCCTTTGCCTGTCCTCCTCAGACAGTCGTGGAGCACCTGAAGCAGCAGGGATGTTCGCACATTGTCTTCACTGACTGTCAGCGCGATGGCAACGTCAAGAAGGTAATGGGCCAGCAGCCCCATGCTGAGCCCTGCTCCTTGCTGCTGGCACCTGAGGGCCTTTTGCTGATCTCCCAGCCCCATGGAGCAGCCTCATTGGCCCACTGTGAGGAGGTGATGCTGGCTGGTCCAGAGCCATCTTCATTTCCAGCTTACCCAAGGCACCCCATCCTCTGCTTGGCCCCCATTTTGTGCCTCCTCCTGGCACTGTCCTCCAAGCAAGCGGCTGCTGCCAGCCCAGGCACAGAGCCACAGTTACAGCCCTTCTCCATGTTTCTCTGCAGATTGTTCCCCTGGTTGCCAAGCTGGTGGGCAACAGCCCACGCTACCACAGGGCCGAGGTAAGAGGCGGCAGCAAGACTGCCAGTGCGTGCGCAGGGAGTCAGGGTGGCCGTCTGCCGGTGGAGGGATGAGGCTGCTCACACATATGCCCACACATATGCCAGAAGTGCCAGCAGAGGCCAGGTTGCTTCGCCATGGCGGCTGCCCGTCACTCCTGGAGTGTAACCAGGAGCTCCCTGCCCATGTCCTCCTCGCTTCCAGAGCACTGAGTACAGCATCCTGGTGATTGGCGTGCCCAACGTGGGCAAGTCCTCGCTCATCAACTCCCTGCGGAGACTGCACCTCAAAAAGGGTATTTCTTCATGGTGCCTGAGCTTGGAGAGGAGCCGTGAGCACAGACATGGAGCGGTTGGCGGGGCAGAGCGTCACTTGCTTCTCTGAATGTGTCTCTCCTTTCCCTGAAGGGAAAGCCACCGCGGTCGGTGGTGAGCCAGGCATCACCAAGGCAGTGCTGACTAGAATCCAGGTACCGTCCCCGCAGCACATCCAGCTGGGTGGGTGCTGGCCTCTGCCTCCCTGTCTCCTCTGGCGGGAGCTCTGGAAAACCTCGAGGCAGGCAGAGGTGATCCCAAAAGGTTGCTTGGGTCCACCTTCCAGCAAGGACTTAATGCCTCGCTCATTAGCCTTATCAGAGTCTGCGGTGCTCATTACAGAGCTGTGCATCCCAACAGCCCTGGCTCCCCCCATCCCAGGTGTGCGAGAAGCCCCTGATGTACCTGGTGGACACGCCTGGTGTGCTGCCCCCAAAGCTGGGGGACATGGAGACGGGCATGAAGCTGGCGCTGTGTGGTGAGGTGGAGGCTGTGGCCAGGGGGGCCCCCAAATGTGGCTTCAAGCCCTGGCTGGGCTTGGTACCTACATCTGGGGTGGGAGTCTGCTGCTGACACACTGCCTGGGTGCCCATGGGTGGCATGTGTATGGTGGAAGGGTTGGCCAGGGCTCGGAGCAGGGCTGGGGGGCGCTGGGGCTTGACCCCCTTGTCCAGGCGCA